GCGTGATAACGTCAATTTTTCCCAACATTTACAAAAAGCGCAAAAATCAGCATTTCATCCGATTTAAATGAAGTTTTTGGAGTTTTTAGCCACAAAAGGTTTCTTTAGATGATGGATTTTAAGTCTCTTCTAGCCCGAGGTTTGCAGTTGGATTTTTTAAATTGAGAGTCTGTAGCTGCCTGAAACCGTTCATTTTTTGACTACATTTTTCAAAGGGCGCAAATATCAGCGTTTGATGCCATTCAAATAAAATTTTGAAGCCTTTCAGACTCACGCGTCTTCTTCAGATCGGAAAATTTTGAAGGTGCCACTTGCGCTGGATTAGAAACTATAAATTTTTATTCAACACCTTGCAGTTGCGTGAAAGCGTCAATTTTTGCCGACATTTACAGAAAGAGCAAAACTCTGCATTCGACTCGATTTAGATGAAGTTTTGCCAAGTTTCAGACTTGTGTGCGCTCTTAAGACTGTAAGAATTTCAAGTCGCTACTTGCACTGAGAAGTTGGGAATTTTTATTTGCGAGTTTGGAGTTTGTGAGAAAACGCTAATATTTAGCTCATGATTTGCTAAGGGCGCAACAATCAGTATTTGATGTGATTTCAATAAAATATCTTCTATACAATGTGCGTGATTTCACGTTGAAGATGAGAATCAACTGGGATCGATGCTTGTATATTTGCAGTATCAAGTGACTTGCATGCCACCAATCAAAAGATTATCTCGTGAAAGCCCATTTAGTTGGGCTGTTTTAATAGATTTAGATGCCTGCAACATCGATGCGAATTTTTAATCAATCAAAGTGTCAGGGATGTTGCAAAATGTATACGCTGCTCGCATTCGATTGTTTGCTCTATTTGCCCAGTTCGCCATCTGCTTGAAAACCGATTTTTCCCCGCTGCGATGCGCTATCTGAAATTGCATGTCAATTTTTCATTTTTCACCAGCAGAATGGTACTTTGTTGCCTTATTGAGCCTTTGATCCATGAAACCGGCAATGTATGTTTCGGTCTACGCAAACGTGTATCGGTTCACGTTTCAACCACATTCCAGCTTCTCGCTTTCAGTAATGGACTGTTTTAATATTCCGCATGTACCCCTTAGAACAATGGCCGTTGGACCTAAAGGGAACGTGTTTTCGAGCCAAAACGATCAGCTCGATCTAAGCGAGCCGGGGAATGCAGATTTTTCATTAGGGAAATCACCTGGCTCACAATGCGCTTTAAATTGGCCATCTGTGCGCAAAAAAACTGACGAAACCGGGCAATTTTATTCACTTTAAGCCACTTATGAGTACATAAATTCCGAGATTAAATGAGGGTTTAAGCGGCAAAAGTATGATCAAGGAAGGCCCCAAACAAGACAGGTTAATCTTTAATCTCCAAGTTTAACATAAGTGAGATAATGATACGTTTAGCTGGGATCGGTCACAGCCATCAGCATCTTGCCAGGTAGAAACAAGTGTGTGTTGGAAAATATTGATGTTGAAATTCAATTACTATATTTTTCTAAGTCAGTGAAGTTAAGCGATGCCTCTAAAGATTCATCATCCTTTTACTCAGCTCAACAATTTGCTGACACTGTTCTTCACATCGGAAAAAATGCTTTCTAATGTTGTCTGCAGTGATGAGTTTTCGGTTCCTTTACGAGCGATTACCCGACAATTAGCCGGCAAGATGAGCCTGGCGAGTTTTGCATATTTGTTCTCACGAACCTCATTTATCCATCGGAAGTTCGCGCTAATATTACGCGGTTCACAAGATGAACATACATTTGAACGTACACATCGCAATTTACCTTAACGGCATTTCGGGTGAATCCGAAAAACGACCGAGAAGAAAACGCGACTTTAGTTCCGCATTCGTGGGAGTGCAAGACAAACTTTCAATGCCGATAACATCTAATTTAGTGCGCACAAACTCGGATCAACTGATATGTTGCTTGCTTGTAGATGAAGAACTAAAATGGTTCGCTTCAGCTATCTGGTTTGAAAATTTCTATTGCATGCAGTCGAAGAGCTGCAAAGTCCTAGATGTTGTCATTCGAAGGACCAGAGCTGTGAAAGTGTCCAATTGTCACCGTCCAGGAGGCTTTTCACAGAAAATTGCGGAAATTTGTCCAGCTTCCACAAGTAACAGTGTCGGTCAATGTTTAAAAATTCATATTTTATCCCACAAACAAGCCAAAAGCTTCCCACTAATTTTGTTCAAACGGGAAAACTCTCGGCTATAAACCTTCCAAATTGTATGTTGCCTTTGGAACCTGGAATTTGTCACTGATTTTTCAAAGAAACTTGTGCAAATTGGTTAATTTTTCACGAGTAAAAATGTCGAGCTATGTTTGAAAATTCGCACCTGCACTGCAAATTAAGCTACAATTTTGGCAATTGTATTGTATTGGAAACGGCGAAGTCTCTTTCCTGAATCACCGAAGTTTCGATTTGCCACCATCATCAGGGACAACACAGGAAATTAGGAAAAATCGGTTAATTTTCCAGAAGCACAAGTCGATCCACGTTTAAAAATTCATGTCGCCGAAAACGCTCGAAAAATTTCTGAAAACTATCATTCAAGCGAGGCAGGTTTCGAGTTGAAATCGATTCAGTTTTATTTTGCTACCATCATCAGGCTACTTTAACCATTTTTTGAAGAAAAAAATGCCAGAGCTCGTAAAATTCTTCAAGTGCAAGTTTAAAAATTTGTATCAGAAGCAAACATCGAGCAAAACACTTCCAGGGAACTTCCTTGGCGAGCCCAACATCCTGTTCAAACTTCCCGATAGTTTCTGTTTGTTACCGCCATCAGGAATTTCTCACTGATTTTTCAAAGAAACTTCTGCAAATTGGTTAAGTTTCATGAGTCAAAATGTCGATCA